TAATATGATATTTTCATTTTTGACTCTTTCCAGTGTTTCTTTAAGCATAGTATTTCTATCTAGCAAATCAAAGAATCTTCCCTGAACATCTGTTCTTGAACTATTCAAATATTTCATATGATCCTTATAGATTTCTAGAGCTTTTTCATTTTGTCCAAGTTTAAGACATATTTCTTTATATTCATCCAATGTTTCTATGAGCAAAGAAATTAATTTGTCTTTTGACAGGGATTTCAGAAATTTAGGTTCGAGATTTACCTCCTTTGACCTTTCACTGTGTTTAGCCATCAAACACAGGTTTGCAGTTTCTTTTTCCGTGGATTCTTCTTCATCCTCAGAACTTGTGTCTCCCCACGCAGCTATCATGGCTTTCCTGTAATCAGATTTTGAAAAGTTAGGAGTATTAGGTTTTCCGTGTTCCTTCATTTTGCCTTTTCCTTTTTCTGATTCCCAGAGAGGGCATTCCTTGATGAAGTGATCTGTGTTCCCACATTTGTGGCAACCTCCTGTTTCCTTGGAGTATTGGTTCTTCTTGAAGTTCCTTTTCTTTTGGTCACCAAACCTTTTGTTGCGGTACAGCTTTTTTAACTTCCTGACTAGCATGGCAGCTTCTTCCTCTCCAGATTCGGAATCCTCATCACTTGGTTGGGCAACTTTTAAAGCGATTCCTCGGCTTTTTGAGCTTTCTTGACTTTTGTTTGATAGGTGAAGCTCATGAGTTATCAAGGAACCTGCAAGTTGTTCAAGGTTAAAGGTTGTAAAGTCCTTTGATTCCTGCAAAGCAGCCACTTTGGCTCTCCACCGTTCATCTTCAGGAAGGCTTCTTAGAATTTTGCGTACCTGTTCATCCATAGGAACAACTCTACCAAGAGAAACTAATTCATTAGTAATATTTTTGAAACGAGTAAACATTTCTTGAATAGTTTCTTTTGAACCCATTTCAAAACGTTCATATTTAGAAAGCAGTATATCAATTTTAGAACGTTTGACTTCATGAGTTCCTTCGTGGGTTATTTCTAGTAAATCCCATATTTCTTTTGCTGTTTTACATCCCATAACACGAGTGTGTTCATCTGGCCCTAAACCCCAAACTAGGAGTTTTTTAGCATTAGCATTAATCTCTTTCTTCTCAAAGTCATTTCTATCATATTCAGAGATAGGTTTAGGAATTACCTCATTTTCTGCATTGGTCTTGGTTACCTCGTAATCTCCTACTTCGATAGCTCGCCAGACTTGATAATTCTCGGACTGTATGAACATCTCCATCCTTGTCTTCCAATAGGCATAGTACTTCCCATTGAAGAGTGGTGGTCTTTGTGTAGAGTAACCTTCAGCTAGTCTCTCGTCCTTTGACATTGTTCCTCCAGGAACTTGACTCGACAGGGCTTCCTGCTTTTCCGAGTTCCTTGCTCTGATACCAATTGATAGAACAATGTATACTACAAGAGGGGGGGTGAATTGTAGTGTATGTAGACTATGGTAAATTTTGCGGAATTAAATCTACTACTAAGAGAAAAGACACTGAGATAGGCAATGAATAAATTCACTATGTAAAAATGATTTACAATCACTAATACGTTGCCTAGACTCAAGTTCCGTGAGGAACTCAAGTTACCCAACTGTGATCCCTCAATCACAGTTTCTCACACTTTGTGATTCTACTCCGAATCACTTGTACAGTGTAAACAACTCTCTCAAATCTCACACTTTACAACTCTCACAACCCAAACCCAATTACACAATGATTACAAGTATTTTCTAAAGAACTTAAGAGACTAAGGATGGAAGGAACTTCTCTTTTAAACACTTTGAAACTCTATGCTCAGAATACTTAAGATTGTTTTTCCACACTTTCAAAACTTAACGTTGATCTGTTTTTATAGGGAGATTATCCAAGCTTCCATCATGTTCCTACTTCCCCCTCAATCCCACGTTCACCTATACTGGGAAGTTGGGATGTAAGTGGAGGAAGTTGAGAACCATGATTTCACTAGCTTGACTCCTAAATCAACGTGCTTCCTTAATTTAAGTAAACAATTATTTTTACTAAGTCAAAAATCAGTTAAGGATTTAAAAAGATAATTATTTATTAATTAAAAAAGATAATTGTTTATTAATTAAAAGATAACTAAATAATTAATTAATTTAAAAACTTATCTTTTAAATTAATGAATTATTTTGATTTTATTTATTTATAAAATAAATCTTTTTCAAAACTGATTTTATCTTTTCCTTAAATTAAGGGATATGAAAACTATTTTTGAAAACCATCGTTTAAACACTTTTCTGAGCATCAGTCAAGTTCCTTCAAGAATTCCAGATTCCATCAGGAACTTTGAGTTTCTCATGAGTTCCTTCCAACACTTTTGTTTCTTAAGTTCATGCACTGAATAACTAAGTATACTAGAGTTGTGAGGACATCTTGAAAGCTTGCATTCATCATCAAGTCTTCCAAACTCTGTTGTTCCTACTCCGGAACATATATTCGTATACCTGAATCTTTCTGTTCAACCAAGACTTATAAACATCATTAGTCAGAGTTTGTTTTACGTAAGTCAATCATTAAAATATTAAGGTGGTCAATTCAACAATAAGGGAAGAGAATCACAATGTTACTCAAACTACCGTTCTAAAAGATGGAACACCGGTTATCCTTAACTTCAGGTGTGATCGAGTTTGGATTGTTGTTGATTGTCATGGCAATGTGGTTAGTCCTCCTATGATCGGTTAACCTGTTTAATGTCGTCGTTGCCTAAAATAAATACTTTGTACCCTGTAACATATGCAATATTATATCGTGTATGTACTAATTTAAGTTGATGTTACGATTATTGATGATGGTATCCTTTTAAATTTTAATCATTTTGTGCTACAGAATGATGACAACAAAATAATTATGTACAATAAAGTTATCCAAATAATAATATTAGTTTAATAATAATGCTTTGAGGCTTCTATGTAACAAAAACTTTAGTGACTTTGATTTGTATTTTTTTTTTAATTATGTTGATTTAATAACTATATTTTTATTTTAAGTGGTAAGATAAAAAAAATAATTACATACGAAGTCCTCCTCACGAGGGATATTCCTAATGTATCGGTCGAAAGAATAGAAAACAAACTAGAATTATTACAAACATCAATATCCATATTATCAGAAACTAAATGACCGACATTAATAATCCAATTTACTGCGTAATTTGCCAACTTCGAAACCGAGTGAGAAGAGAATAAGTGCCTTCAATAACATGCTCGATATGCGAAAAGACTGTCCAAATGCCTTTTATAGTGTTGATCACTAGAAGATTATCACAATTAATTTGAATATTTTGAATGCCGCATTGAAGGGCTGCTAGTTGTACTCTTTTATGAAGCTAAGATAGCTTATCACCTTCAACTTGAATTTAATTACAATATGCACCTTTTCTCCGTCTCTCATCTTCAACTTCAATTTGTTTTAGGATAATAGATGGTTTAACATAAACAATAATCACGTATGATAGTTGACCAAATTAAAGAAATGTCTAATTCAAACTTTGACAATGCCAGCTAGGGCGAGCTAGCACATTGCTTCCTTTATTTTACGCAAATTTTTCAACATGTCCCTCATAACTTTTATTTAAAAATAAACAGATTAATCAAAATCTTCAATGATAAATCAATTAAAATCAATAACAAATCAACTTAATAAATCATTTGTATATACCATAGTTGGTAATATAAATAGATCGATGATTAAATTAAAGCAATTAGTACGTAAGATCGTTGACCAAAAAATTTATGATTCAAACTTTGACAATGGCTGCTAATTAAGGCAGCACATCATCATTTCCTTTACTCCACGCAACTTTATTTTGCATTATCCATGCGCATAATCAAGTCTATATATACCGTCTTAATTAAACTCGAGAAATTAATTAAGCAAGGATACTAACATATAATCAAAGAAGAAAATATAATTAGATCGAGAAAGATGTCTTCTGAATGCCCAGGTAATAATCCAACTTTTCGATTGATCAATTCATAATCCAAATTTGTTTCAAATGTTTTAAATGTTTTACGTACGTACAATATTGTTAATGAACAATTATGTAACGATGTTTAATACGTAGTACATGTAATTTTGTAGGGAAAAATGTGTGGCCTGAATTAGTTGGAGAAAATGGGAAGGAAGCTGCTGAAATTATAAAGAAAGAAAATCCAAATGTGATTGAAGCAACAGTTTTACCAGATGGAACTGCTGTTATTGAAAATTTTAGGTGTGATCGGGTTTGGGTTTGGGTCGATTGTAATGGACTCGTTGTTCGTCCTCCTATGACGGGTTAATTATTAATTAACTAAGCTACTTAATGTATAGCATGCAGTTGTGCTGAATAATAATGTACTATATGTACTATATGAATGTATGATCATACATTATTTTACTAATGATTCAAAGTTTCCATTGTGTTTTTATACATCTAGACCTCTATCTATCTTGCATAAAATAACAAACCACAATGTAGATTAATTATCATGTCTTCCTATTAAGCCAGTGTATTTTTTCAGTCCATACATAAGACGTGTCTTAAATTGTAAAAATACTACTATATTAATTCTATATTCTGTAAATAAAGTGAAATCTATGGTCAAATTAAAGGTTCAAAATTTCGATAATTTCAATTAAGCAATCTTTCAGAAATGAAAGGATTGACGAATTTTCCACCAAAAAATTGTTATAATAAGATGACGAGCATGATATGGACTATTGTATGAGTGGTGATAAACCTAATAAGGCTAAATAGATAGAGTAATTATTATTTGTCCATTGTCAAAAAAAAAAAAAAACTATCATTTATCGTTTATAATACAGAATAAATAGACATACTCGCCACCTCAACCATACAGTTCTTATCCCACGTTTATGCTACATTTTTAATTTTTGGGCATGGGATCGCGAGGAACGCACGAGAAAACGATGCCCTTGCTAATGCAATGTATTAAGAAGCATATAACAATTTTGAATTTTCTGGTACGAAACTAATGAAATGTGACTCGTCTATAAATTCCACTGTTTTCATCGTTGTACCAACACAAGCAATCAAACAATTTACCAACAAAACATCAACTAGAGAAAGAGAAAAAAATGGAATTTGATTATTTTTGCCCGCCTGGTAAGATTTATACTAGACTTAATTTAATTGCACGTTATATTCATTACGATATAATAGTTATCTTGTATATGAAAATTATGTACGCCTTCATGTTACATGATGATAGGAATAAATTGAAGAGGAACGTAGTTACATAACATAACGAACGTAATTTCCTAGAGCGATAAAATTTGTTATGATCTTCTTCACTGTATAGGTACAAATATCAAGAGATTGGATCGAGTCCTTACGTATTCTCCATGATGACGAATTATATGATTTTGCAGGGAAGCTAAGCTGGCCGGAATTGGTTGGAAAGAATGGAGAAGAAGCAGCTGAAATAATTAAGCAAGAGAATCCTCTTGTCGATCCCATTGTTTGGGATAAAGGATGGAGGCCACTTAACTTCAATTGTTATCGGGTTTTCGTATTCGTTGATTCGGATGGTATCGTTACTAGTCCTCCAACGGCAGGTTAAGCAGTGCCATGAATCATGCGAATAATATGTACACATCAAATTATATAAGTACTAAATAAATGAATGTGTACCGGTATATATGTAGCATGTAGTACGGATCCAAGTATGTGTGATTATGAAATATGAAGTGATGATAATCTATTTGAACTACATACAATAAAAGGAAATTGGGGTGTGCTAAAATTTGGCACGACACGATGCCCACCTTTAATTACATTTATATTTACTATATGAAGTATTTATTTAAAATTAAAAATTATTTTACTATCATATATATATAATATACTAAAATTTGAACACAAAAAAAACTCTTGGATAACTTTTCTATCCTAAAATAACTGATGTGGCAAACTGAACTTTTGTGGTTGCACTAACTTTTCATTTGAAAATTACATAGTATAACTCTTGACGAAAAATTAAAAAGTCAAATATCAGCGTCTCTTGGCCTGATTGCAGGACTCGGCCACTTTACGTACTTATCAAGGATTTTTTTTTTTTTTTTTTTTTTTTTGAGAAAATACTTATCAAGGATGTATTATATCTGAGTACATTATAGTATACATGCATTCAAAACAGTACTTGTACATTATAATTGTCTAAAAAATAATTGTCTAATTCACATTAAATATTGTACGTAGTATATAGTTTTGATTTCGCCATGCACACATACTAAGCTAGTTGGAACTCCTATTATATTTAATCAATTAACTCTTCCAATGTTTCAAAAAAAATTAACTCATATGAAGTATATTAATTTCTTTTAATAATATTTTAATCTTTTTAACAACGTGTACAAAAGATAAATAAAATTCTTTTATTTGGAAATAGATGTGTATATTAATAAAATAAAGTCAGTAAATGGGGCATATGATTCCAAAGTGGACCAAAACCACATTGGATAACCCATTACAAATTTATAATTGGAGTATCTAATTCATCGAAAAGCTTATCGGATCTGCACAGACGATATTTTAGCTCCCTTAATCACCTTGGCATCTAATTAATTACAAGTGGTCCAGTGATAAGAATTGTTTATGTACAAATTTATAATAATAAGATATATTAATAATAATAGTCAATTAAAATGAAATTAATTGAAATTAAATGACTTGTATAACATTTTTTTTTTTTTGAAATTTCAATCTATTTAATGTCTAGCCTTAAAATTTTTATGTGTTACATATATATGTAAAAAAATTATTAAAATTGTATGTTCTTTTCGATGATTATTTATTTTGAAAGACTCTTCGGTAATTACTTTAGTATATATATTAATATAGTATAGAAGTATAGATATAATCTCTATAAGAAGAAACTTGGGGGGAGGGGCCATGAAAGTTTGTTTCCTTTGCCCCCACTTCTAAGGCCTAAGGGGTCTTGTTCGTTCTTGTTAAACTTGGGTTGGAATGACTTGTAAGGTAAAGACTTCTATCCGATAAAGCCTAACAAAAAAAAAAAAAAACATTTGGCATCTAAGAATATAAAATTAACTTTATATATAACATTCGAGGGATAGCTGGATAGCTCAAGTGGTTAGAGCTTCCCTCCCGATTTCAAGAGATTCTGGGATCGATTCTCAACCCCGCCCTTGTGGCTCTCTAAAAACCAAAAAAAAAAAAAACATTCGCACTATACAAAATATTCTAAATCAAAGTTTGATTTGACAAAGGTAGATTTTGTCAACTATAAATATATGTACTACCTACAACCCGAGAACTCATCAAGCTAAATTGTCCAAGAACATTTTTCAAGAGAAGAAATCTAGGTATATAACGAGCTAGAGAAAATGTCATCACTTCAATGCCAAGGTAATACAGACAACTTCTAGTTATTTCATACTTTGTTGTATTTATTTCGTTGTATTTCATCTATTCTTCGATCTATTATTAATTATTGTAATAAATACTTCATGCACCGAATATAAAAATCATACATGTATCTATTTTGTATGTAGGGAAAGAGTCGTGGCCAGAACTAGTAGGAAAAAATGGGCATGAGGCAGCAAAAACGATTGAAAAGGAGAATTCCAACGTTAAAGCAATCATCTTACTAGATGGAAGTCCTGCTACAATGGATTTTAGGTGTGACCGTGTTAGGGTTGCAGTCGATTCAAAGGACGTTGTGGTCCGTACTCCTGTAATTGGTTAAGCTCTTCGCTACCAAATACGTACTTGACCTAGCTTGGAGGCTAGGCTTACCCCTTTAAACTTATGTTGTACTATGTTGTACTATAGTACTCCGTATAAAATAAATATCTCGAGGTTTTCACTTTCTACACTTATGTAATACAATATATATCAAATAAATATCTCGAGACCTTATATATGGGTGAGGTGTGAAAAAGTTTTCGCATTATTAGTATTAATGTTCTAAATTTGGGTTAATCTAACATTTATTTAGGGTCTGCTCACATTTACTGAACTGAACTGAACTGAACTGATTGGAGCTGCACTGAAATGAACTGAACTGATCGGAACTGAACTAAACTGAGCTAAAATGAATATTTTATGAGAGAGGAAAATTAAGAGTTGAACTGAACTGATTGGAGCTGAACTGAAATTAAGTAAATGTAAACTGAACTGAAATTAAGTAAATGTGAACAGAGCTGAACTGAACTGAAATTAAGTAAATGTGAACTGAACTGAAATTAAGAAAATGTGAACATACCCTTATTTTATATTTTTTTTTACTTTTTTTCCACTTCATTTTGTGCATGTCACCTATTTCAATTGGTATCGAATTCTATTGGAGATATGCTAGGATATAATATTGTGATAGTCAATCTGTAATATATATTGCTCAGGATCCTATTTTTCATGAACGAACAAATCATTTGAGGCAGACTGTCATTTCTTCAGAGATGCAATTACAGCCGACACTATCAAACCTTGTGTAACCACAAAAGTTTAGTTGGCCGACATCTTTACCAATCTTTGGTGAAAGCCAAGTTTGATTTCTTACTTCGCAAGTTGGACATTTGTGACCCATCGGCTGTATGCTCCAACTTGAGGGGGTATTGGAGATTATATGCTAAGATTGGATATTATTGTGATATGCTAGGATGTTGAGGAATATTAGGGTAGTGACAATTTTGACTAGTACAGGAAAGGGTTGCGACGCTAAGAAATGGGCTCCTACGACGCAAAAACGCGTTGCTACACCCTTTACCGACGCCACGAAAAGTGTCGTTTAAGCTGGTGCCGCAAGACCCTATAGCGACACTATTTAATAACGTCGGTATAGTGTTTAAAAAAGCGTCGCGACCTTGACGCGCTTTTCGGCATCTTATAGAGGCACTTGTAAGCGTCGCCAATTCCTTGGAACCCGCATTGTACACAGCCTACCAAGGCACTTGTAAGCGCTGCCATAGCTTGTTAGGAGTGCTTTTCTATACTTTTAGCGTCACTTTTAAGCGCTGACATAATTTATGTAACGCACTTACCTATAGCCTATAAAGGCACTTTTAAGCGTCGTAAGAAGTAAACTACCACACTATCTTACACAGACACTTTTTAACGTCGCAAGATGTACAATGGTGTGGTTCTGTAATAGCATCTATAATAACATTTAGAGCGTTGCTAAATTACCTGTTTTTTACATGATAAAATTCTAAACACCAAAATTTTTATTAAAATAAATTATGGTCATAAATGTCATCAAACAAGAAACATGAAATAAAGTACCTAAAATCATTTAAACAAATAACCATCTAAGTTCCTACATATATATATATAAAAAAAAATAAAAAAAAAATAATAATAAAAAAAAAAAAACACCGTTCAGCAGCTAGAATGTACTTAATAAGTAAACCAAAACTATGCCAATAGAAGATTTATTTATAAGACAAAATATTGATGCTTTAAATTGTCTTCGTGTTCCAACTTTGAAGTTGCCAAAGCATAACCTGCATGAGTGAAAACAGATAGTCAACTACTATATTAAAAATTATTATATGATGATAAAAAATAAAGAAATAATAAAAAATATATGTTAGACATTTAATAACCAATCTAACCTTGGTAACGCAATAACTAATCTCTACGATTAATGTCATTGTTAGCTCTGGGAGAAGCTTCAACATCCTAGAAAAATAACAAAGGAGAAAAGTTATCAACTTTATATCATCAAGTTAAAAGGCGCAAATGTACCAATCAATAATAAGAAATCAAACCTGGAAATAACGACATACATATTACTAACATTCCCAATATTAAACACTCAAAGATGAAAGAGACATTCCTAACATTAAACAAAGTATTAATTAATAGTTCCTACATTACTAACATTATCGTCAATGTAATATGCAAAAGTGTTAATTTAGAATTTTGCAAACGACAATGTTCAACCAATTTCACTTAAAAGTAATGACAAAAAATTGTAACCAAATTAGTACGATCCTTAATTAAGTGTTCCAAGTTCACACAACATATTTCTTTTATATGATTCTAGTAAGTAATCATACAATTAAAAATAAGCAACTTATGTAACTATGAGATGGAACCATTTTCTACTTATTACAATTACTCTACCTACAAGCTAACTGCCAAACAAATACTTTACAGTTATATAGGCATAAAAAAAAAAAGTAAGGTGCCCATCAGATTGGTGTTGCATACCGACAAGACCATGCCATAGCTATAAAGACACAAAATAGGAGCTGTAATATAGTATTATAATTAATAACCTGATCATCATCATCTTCTGCCTCTGGATACTCATCAGATTCGGAAGCAAGAGAATCAGTTTCAGATTCAGTTTCTGAGACAAGAGTCACAAGAATGTCATGATCTTCTAGCGTCCTTTTCACCTTTGTCATATTATATGCTTGCTTTCTGACACGATGTCTCAATCTATTCACTTTATCCTTCAGTCGTCGAAAATAGTGTATAATTGCTGCTTCATTATCAGAGGACATTTTCAAACCATTGCAAAATCTAGGGTAAGAGGATTCGCCCACATCCGATGGCTTAACACCTAATCCTAAACCACGGACACGACCATATTGATCTTTTCCCAGAACTTTTGAAGCAGGATCATCATCCAAGTCTTCTTGGTCTCCTTGCTCAGTTGCAACTTTTTTTATTTGATTCTATAGAGCATGCACAAATTCATAATAATTTATGAGAAAATAATTGAACTAAATGAGGATTCTAGCAAGGAAAATATTACTCACCGTTATATCCGCTTCACTTTCATGTTGGTGACATTGTAAATAAACTTGAGTACGTGATGGGCTCTTGTTTAAATTTTTTTTCTAAGATTTTCATCAAAGAGATGTTACAAATTAGCTAATAATCAACAAAGACAAAGTGTGTACGAAAAGTTAAATTATACATGGTTAAAGAAAGATACCATCTCTTCACGAACACGTGCATGACTCTTAGTACCAGTAGTATGAATTGGCTTCACTTTGGCCTTTGCATGTGATTCTTTACTGCGCTTGCTTCTTTTCTGCCACAATGCAAAATAAATTTATTTATACATTTACATTATATATAAAAATACATAGGGCAACCAAAAGCAAAGTAACTAGCAAAGCTGCCTATATAATGTTCAAAGTAACTAGCAAGTTTAATATAAACCAAAGTTATATATAAAACAGACATGTCCTTCTTCTGACCTCCAGAAATTGACAAGACTAACCCATTGATCATAATCAACATCATCATCCGGACAATTATCATAAAGAGTGTTGACATCTGTATCATCATCATAGCCTTTTCCTTTTAAGTAGCCTTTGTAATCTCTCCATTTATGCCCAATTGACTTCAATATCCACTTCCCAAGTGCTTTTGGGTAAAGAAATCGTCTCTAAAACAAAGAAATATTATAACAATATAAAATATGTACATTTTTCATACAAAAAATAAAATAAAATAAAATAAACTCATATTACCTCAACTTCCTGTAATATCAATTTTTGGTTGTTTTTATTACAACCTTTTTTCAATAAATCCCATCTTGTATAAGTTAGAGAGCAAAGTGACCCATTCCTAGCAACTGTTCCACAAAAGTAGCCTAATACTCCTCCTTCATCACCAATTGGTTGATTCTCTTTATTAACTTCAACTACAATTCTTTGCCCATCTGGCAAACATCTGCTAGAACAGTCTTTCCACGTCTTCTATTTCCATTTGTATCTGTTTTAATAAATAGAACAATATAGTTCCACTAAATTTAAGCAAATGAAAATAAGAAAAAAAAAATCCATGTTTTTGCATCATTCACATTACCTTCAATTGTGTATTCATAAACATCATTTCTGTGACTAGAACAACTATACGTGGAGCTCAACATCCCAAATGGATTAAATCCATCACTAGCAAGCCCAAGCCTAACATTACGGCTCTCTCCACCAAACACTGGATATCTAGTGTCAAAGCTTTTCCATGCTTCAGAATCAGCTGGATGACTTAACACCTTATCGTCCTTAGAACGTTCTTCATCATGCCACCTCATCAAGCTTAGACATATACAACCTCTTAAGTCTTGGTTTCAACGGAAAATAGCGAAGTACTTTGGCAGGGGACCCTTTTTTCTTCTTCTTTCCCGTCGAATTTGTTTGCTCCGTTTCTCTCTTCCACCTAGAAGCACCACATACGGAGCATGCATCATCATTAATCTTGTCCTTCCAGAACAATTGACAATGGTTCGGGCAAGCATGAATTCGGACGTAACCAAGTCCTAACTTGTCAATGACCTTTTTTGCCTCCTTAAAAGAATTAGGCAAGTTTGTAGGAATTGCAAGTCGTAATATTTGTAATAAATTACTAAATGACTTATTAGTCCATTTACTAGTGCTCTTTACATGAAATAAAAGCACTAACAAGGACAACTTCGTCAGTTTGCACCCTGGCCACAATTCTTCCTCGGCATCTTTCAGCAAATCATAGAAAACTTTGAGCTTCTTTGTTAGGACCCGGTATACCTTCATTCATGTTCTCACCAATATTTGGCCCATCACCTCTATGATCATATATGTCATGTACCAACTAACTCATATCCATATGCATAATAGCCTCATCATTTTCTACCATAGATTCTGTAGAAGCTGAAGTGAAAACTTGATCTATACTTTCACCATGAAACAACCAAGTTGAATAATTACGCATTATTCCATCATGGAGCAAGTGGTAATTTACATCATCAGGTTTTAAAAGCTTGTTATTAACACACCTCACACAAGGGCATCTAAGTTTACCATCAAGTGTTAAAGAATTGTTAGCATAACTTAAAAAGCCATCAACCCCTTTTTTGTATTCTGGTGCTTTTATTGGAAAAGCTAAGTTTTCCTTAATTGTTCTCAAATCCATTATCAACAACACTGGAAAACGGAAAGTTTATGAGTTTAATTTATTAGGCGAAAAGAAAAAAGGCAATCACGATATAACATATAGTAGATATAATTTTCAGATAATCTAATAACTTTAAGTAGCTTAAATGAATTAAATTTAGAAGATATTTTAGCCTAATGTAGACTTCTTTCTTTGGTTTGGTTACGCTCTTTGGGGTGGAGAAAATCATATACACTACCCTTTTTTTTAATTCATTAAAGAAAGAAGTTTTCAATCTTCAATAGGTGTGACAACATTTATAGAGCAACCAAAAAAGAAATTTAATAAGACTTCTCAAGTCTGACATTTAATATGTAAGCTAAGAACATACAACATCTTATATTTTGAAAAGTAGTAGTGCATCTGTGCATAGCCACACAACTAGCTATATTATAGTAACATCAAATATTATTATTAATTATGCCTTCGCAACAATTCATTCACACAAACATGATTTCTGCCAAATAAATTAAAAAAAAATAAGAAACCAAATAAAACTTTCTGCAAAAAAAAAAAAAAAAAAAAAAAAAAAAACCACTGATAGAAAAGAACTTCTTGAATTCATGTAGTCCCACTATTTATATGTTACTCTAAAATATTAGACAATATATCTTCAAACTAAACTATTTTTTTAAAACCAAGGAGCTAAAATATATTAATGGTGCTCTAAAGGTTGTTAATGATATCCGTAAGCTTCGTAGCTCTTTTATTTGTAGTTTTGGTTTTGCTAGTAATAAAGTGGCCCACTCTATGGCCAACTTAGCTCTTTCTTTTGAGGAGGTCATGGTTTGGTTGGAACAAAGCCCCCCTAATGTAACTATGTCTGTTCTTGTAGACCAAGTTTGAATATAAGTTTCTATTGTTGCTTGTAAAAAAAAATATATTAATGGTGCTCAAAGACCAACCAAACAAACAAGTTCAGAGAGTTGACAAGCATATACTCCCTATTACAACAAAAGCCAAAACCATGCAACATCGAACAAAGTTTTGCAACAAAAGCTAAGACATAGCAATCCAAAATCAAAACAACCAGAGAATGCCTAAGAACACAAAAGATCAGCATCCAGCAATTAAATACTACAGTATAAAATAACACAATATACCTTATTAATTTTATTACTAGTAATACAAAACTATGAAATATGAGTAAGCAGGGGATATACTAAAGAGTGAATTAAACACTCACAATAGATTGCCAAAGAAATTAAACACTGCACATGATAAGCAACATGAAACATTAAACAATTCTATTGATGATAAATTGCTGAGAAAATATGCTTTACAGAGACGAAATTACATCTAAATAAACATGCAATAACATACCTGGAATTAGCCTCATTTAGATCTCTTTCTTTTTGACGAATTTTTTTCGAGAATAATGAAATTAGATCTGCAATTATAGACGAAATTGAGGGACAAAACTGAGCTTAATTCAGCAAATTGGAATTGGAATTGGCGAAATAAACATATGATGAATAGAAATTGACAGAACCCGGCAAAACAAATCAGCAAATCATGTGAATTTATAGCGAAACAGTGAATTTAGGTAAAATTAAAGGGGAAAATCAATAAAAAAAACAAAACAAAAAATTACGAGAAAAACATTACCTTAGAATGAGAAATTCGAGTTTGTACGGATCGATTAAAATTCTCAAAGAGAATTGACAAATTGGGCAAATTAAAAGGGAAAATTCAGCAAATAGAAAACGGATTCAATGTTCAAGGTTTGAGAATGATATTCAGAGAGATTAGAGAGTTTGGTGAGCGCACAATTGGGGAAATTGATATAATCAGTAGAGTGATAGGTTAGGGATATGCAGGTGTAGGAGTCGTGGGAGTTTTGAAATATTTCACAGAATAAAAAAAATTAAGTGGCGCGGTTTTCAGCAATAACAACGCTATATTGCAGTGCTTTTTAATAAGCGCTCCAATTTGACACGGAAAGTGCATATTTCAGCACTATTAACATGTTGCGCGGCTACCAATGCGCCTTAATATACTGTTTTTGTAGTAGTGTATAATAACTTAAACTAACTAATAAAACCTAACCAAAAAACGTAAATAAGATAAAGGTGCTTCCACTTTTCTTTTACCAGTTTTTAAAATTATCATGATTTTGAGAATGTGAGCTAGCTCAATTAGTTAAATAACAGCAAGTACGTACGTAAGATCGTTGACCTAAAAAATTATGATCAAACTTTGACAATGGCAGCTAATTAAGGCAACACATCATCATTTCCTTTACTCTACGCTACTTTATCTTGCATTATCCATGCGCATAATCAAGTCTATATATACCATCTTGATTAAACTCGAGAATTTCATTAAAAAAGGATACTAACAAATTATCAAAGAAGAAAATATAATTAGATCGAGAAAGATGTCTTTAGAATGCCCAGGTAATAATCCAACTTTTCGATCTATCGATATATAATTCAAATTCATATAATTCAAATTTGCAAAATTTTATTTCAAATTAATATACGTAGGTACAATATTGTTGATGAACATTAATGTAACGATGTTTATTAGATGTAATTTTGTAGGGTAAAATGTGTGGCCTGAATTGGTTGGAGAAAATGGGAAAGAAGCTGCTGAAATTATATAAAGAAAGAGAATCCAAATGTGATTGAAGCAACAGTTTTACCAGATGGAACTGCTGTTATTGAAAATTTCGATGCTTCTATTGTAGTCGTCGACTACGGTAAGATATTAAATCTAAACCGTTGATTTTAATTATTGCTTAATCATAGACGTTTATCATTATAATTTTTTAAAAAATGAAAAGTCTAATTTACACCTCAAAAAATGTCATGACATGTCATGACCAGTCATCAAAGTTCTGTTTGTTTTAATTTTTTTATGTGTGAAATTTTTTCTTCAATATTATAACATTATAAACATTCATCCATATAAATTACAATGCTATTAACATTTGCCCCAATTATATTAAAAAAATACATTTATTTAGCTTCATCCCCATTTTTAGTAGCTTCATCTCATTTTGATAGATTCAACCATTTGCAATGGCACACTTCATCCAAAACACAATCATAAACTACCAAAGTATATATGAAATTAATAAGATTAATGAATAATCATCACATTTATGCTTCCCTTTTTTTTCCCCCCTGATTTAGGAGTTTGTAATCAATTTAATGATCATTATAACTATGCGTTTGATTATGGATTTTTTTTTTTAATTTCAAAATTAATTGCTTCTAGCTTCAACCTTTAACCTCCATTTTTCTTCCAATATTAATCAATAAATTACCAAAGATATGAAATCAATAAAATATGCTTCAATTTAAACTAATTTCAGATATTGTAATTTTATAATAAGTCCTTTAATTTAATTAATCATATCGTTTATGAGTAACCTGTCATTATTCAATGTTGTAACTCTATTGTCATTGTTGAAGATGGGAGTGATTTTAGGTTGAAGATGAATAATAGATATATATATAAAAAAAAAATAATAATAAAACCTGATTATTAATTTTTATCCGTTTATTCATTCTTATTTATGCGTTTGTGCAGGAATTTTATGCGTTTATTCAGGAATAAAAATAAAAAGTGCACTAATTTTATGCGTTTATTCATTCTATTAAAAAAATAAAGTTTATTAATTTATTTATCTATTTGAAAAATGAAATTAGAGAGGGTGTTATTATTTAGGGAGTAATATATGATAATATCTTTTCCTAAACTTATTTATTCTGAAATAGTGGAACATAAAATTCAGTGAATAATTACCATGAATAAAGATAGAATTTGCGACAAAATTTATCTCCAATTATCTTAGACACTAAAATAGATTGTTAAATATTATGGAGTAAAAAATAACGAAAGAATATTTTATTTTTTTTGGATGGAAATAACGAAAGAATATATACAACACAACTATCCTAATTCCTATTTCTACGCTATAAATGAGGATACTGAAGATATTTATTGACTATCCTAGGCTAAATAATAGGTAACTAAAACTGTCATGTACATAGACTTATTATTAGCTAGGTACAAAGTAACTAATAATTTATAATGACTTACAAAATATATGGAGTACTATATATTAACATAGATATTATTAAAAATAAAAAAAAAAAATAAGCTCTATGATTT